GAAGTGCGCCGCCTACTGGCGCAGCAGCCTGGAGGGCAACGAGTGGGGCCCCAGGTACTGGAGCTACTACAACAACTGCTGGGTTTACATCGCGGAGAACAACGACGAGTTCGTGTACCTGCGTGGCGTCCAGCGCGACCCTCGCTTCTACGATTGGCACGCGCGGACTGCGTGGGGTACGTACAGGATCAGCTACTTTGGTCCTGATGGCCGCCGCGTCTGGGCAAATGAGTTCCACCCGCGCGGCAACGCCTACTGATGTCGGCCGCGAGGCCCACTGCTCGATAGCCTGAACTTCGCCGTTGCGGAGTTCGCTTCGAGCAGTGCAAAACGCAACCTTTTGGCCACTTCACGACTACCGATAAGTGGCCTCGCACACACATTTTGGTGATGTCTAAGGCGCGCTCCTTAGGAGCACTGCCAAAGAGACCCACCCGGTACAAAGTTTGTTTATGTACCTTTTCGTGTTCATCAACGCGACATTGGGTTCACTATAGAGCGATTCTCGCGCGCTGGACACCGGACACAGGACGCCGGGCACCGGGCGCCGGACACCGGACACCGGACACCGGACACCGGACACATGCAGGACACCGGCCACCGGACACCGGACACCGGACGCCGGACACCGGACACCAGACACCCGACACCGGACACCGGACACCGGACACCCTGGACACCGGACACCGGACACCGGACATTGGACACCACGCACAGGACACTGGACATCCGACACCGGACACCGGACACCGGACACCGGACACCGGACACCCTGGACACCGGACACCGGACACCGCACACCGGACACCGGACACCGGACACCCGACACTGGTCACCGGACACCGGACACCGGACACCGGACACCGGGCACCAGCACCGGACACCGGACGCCAGACGCCAGACGCCAGACGCCGGATGCTGGACACCGGACACCGGACACCGGACACCGGACACCGGACACCGGACACTGGACGCCGGACGCCGGACGCCAGACGCCGGATGCCGGACACCGGACACGGACACCAGACACCGGACGCCGGACGCCAGACGCCGGACGCCGGATGCCGGACGCAGGACACCGGACACCCTGGTCACCGGACACCGGACACCAGACGCCGGACGCCGGACGCCAGACGCCGGAGGCTGGACACCGGACACCGGACACCGGACACCGGACACCGGACACCGGACACTGGACGCCGGACGCCGGACGCCAGACGCCGGATGCCGGACACCGGACACGGACACCAGACACCGGACGCCGGATGCCAGACGCCGGACGCCGGATGCCGGACGCAGGACACCGGACACCCTGGTCACCGGACACCGGACACCAGACGCCGGACGCCGGACGCCAGACGCCGGAGGCTGGACACCAGACACCGGACACCGGACACCGGACACCGGACACCGGACACCAGACGCCCTTTGGTTGGTCGCTTGGTTGGTTGGTTGGTGGGTTGGTTGGTTGGCCGGTTGGTTGGTTGGTTGGCCGTTTGGTTGGTTGGTTGGTTGGCCCGTTGGCCGGTTGGTTGGTTGGTTGGCCGGCTGGCTGGTTGGTTTGTTGGTCGGTTGGTTGGTTGATTGGCCGCTTTCATTACAAGCAGGTTGGTTGGTTGGCTGGTTGGCCGGTGCGTTGGCTGGTTGGCCGATTGGTTGGTTGGTTGGTTGGTTGGCCGGTTGGCCGGTTGGTTGGTCTGTCGATGGGGGGCCGACGAGGTCCAGGTTTGTCAGAGAATTGTTGGGCGTATTCTTTCTCCATTGTTTTGTAAGCAGGAACATATATTTTGTTAAATCTTCAGGCCGGGGTCCGAAATCTGAGAGAATCGTTTGGTATATTCATTCTCTGTTGTTTTTCAAGCAGGAAGATATGCCTCTTTTCATTGTTTAAAAAATCATGCCGATGCCCAAAGTCTGACAGACAATCGTTTGGCACATCCATTCTCTATTGTTTTGTCAGCAGGAAACATTTTTTTTTTGTTTTTTCCAGGCCGAAAGTTATGGCCGTTTTTTGAAGTTTCAGGCCAGGGTCTGAATTCTGACAGAATCGTTTGGCATAATCCTTCTCTACTGTTCTGTAAGCAGGAAGCTATGGCCTTTTCTTGAATTTTCGGGCCGGGCTCCAAATTCTAATAGACAATCGTTTGGCATTTTCGTTCTCTATTGTTTTGTAAGCAGGAAACTATGCTCTTGTATTGTATTTTCAGGCAGATGCGCGGGGCTTTACAGAGAATGGCTAAGCGTATTCCTTTCATATTATGGTATAAGTGATGAACGCAAGCGAACATGTAAGTAATTAGAAAGTAATTTAATCATTCATTTAATCATTTGCGTAGTTCCCTTGCTCATGTAATCATTGGCACTGCGTGGGGGAGGCGCGGAACGATGGCGAATTGAATGCTAAGCAAAATGGTTATTTTGATGAGCACGCAAGCGAACATGTAAATAAATATTTTTTAGTTATCCATTTTAATCATTTGCGTGGTTCCCTTGCTCATGTAACCATTGGCACTGTGGGGAGGGGGTGCGGAACGATGGCGGATTGAATGCTAATCAAAATGGTTATTTCAATGAGCACGTAAGCGAACATGTAGATAAACAAATAGTTAAATAATTGTTTAACTATTCATTTAATTATTTGCGTGGTTCCTTTGTTCATTTAACTATTGGCACTGCGTGGAGGAGGCGCGGAACGATGACGGATTGAATGCTAATCAAAATGGTTATTTCCAATGAGCACGCAAGCGAACATGTAAATAATTAGATAATTATTTGATGATCTATTTAATCATTTGCTTGGTTCCGTGGCTCATTTAACCATTGACATTGTGTGGAGGAGGCGCGGAAAGATGCAGGTTGAATGCTAAGCAAAATTGTTATGTCAATGAGCACGCAAGCGAACATGTCAGTACTTAAATAATTACTTAACTATTTATTCAATTATTTGCGTGGTTCCCTTGCTCATTTAAGCATTGGCACTGTGTGGAGGAGGCGCGGAACGATGACGCAGGAGAGGTAGGTGTATGAAAAATTGAATGCTAATCAAAATGGTTAGTTAAATGAGCACGCAATCGAACGTGTAAATAATTGAATAATTATTTCAAGGAGCACTGCGAGCCTCATGGGCCCTACGAGCGCTATGAAGCCCTGAGGGCCTTCTGTACGAGCCCTACTGGCCCTATGAGACTGGTGAGCCTTGTGAGCCCTAGGAGCTCCATGAGCCTTACGAGCCCCGTGAGTCTTCTGAGCCCAATGAGCCCTACGAGTCGCATGACCACTACGAGTTCTATGATCCCTCTGAGCTCCACGAGTCCTGTGATCCCTGTGAGCTCTATAAGGCCTGAGCCCTATGGGCCCCATGAGGCCTGTGAGACCTATGAGCCCGATAAGATCTACACGCCCTATGTGCTCTCTTCGGCTGTATCGGCGGCCTCTTGAGCTGTCTGGTTGCCGTCATTGTGCCTCCTCATTTGTCTGTTGCTGCTCCTCCCGCTTATCCTTATCATCATCTTTCTGTTGCTGGCCCATACTGATCATTATCCTCATCTATATCCTCCTCACCGTCGTCGTCGGGCCGACGGTGCGCGCTCGCCATCTTGTTCTGGACCCTCTTCATCCTATCTGCCCCCTGATCCTCCTCCGCGTGCTCCTTCTCGGCCTCTCCTCGCCATTCTCCGCATGATCCTCCTGCACCTGACGCCTGACACCAGACACCGGACACCGGACACCGGATATCAGACACCGGACACCGGACACCGGACACCAGACACCGCGCAGCGGACACTGGACACCGGACACCGGACACCGGACACCGGACACCAGACACCGGACACCGGACACCGGACACCGGACACCGGACACCGGACACCGGACACCGGACACCGGACACCGGACACCCGACAACGGACACCGGACACCGGACACCAGACATTTGACACCGTACACCGGACACTGGACACCGGACACCGGACACCGGACACCGGACACCGCAAGAATCGTCCATGCCTTCATTGAATTTGATTTACTTATTTGACCTCTGTGCGACAGCTCCTGTATTACAGCGGACGAAGCACAGATTGAATTTATTTGGCTTACTTCTATTTTGATGCCGGTGGCAACACCCGCTATGTCCTTTCCTCATCGATGAGGCTGGACGCAGCGGCTTCTGATGTTGCTTTCGTTTCCTCAGTTCCTCTTGCTCCGCTCATCCGTGTCGCATTCCTCTCCTCCCTCGAGTGCCGAAGCGTTTTTTTGGGGCGCACCGAGGGGCAACTAAAGGGTGTTCGAAAAGGAAAATGGACACTTGGATGTTCCTTCGCTCCTTACCTTGCTCGTTCACACTGTGCAGTGGCGCTGGGCAATTACAGAAGCGGACACTGCTGGTGTGTTCGGGACATGTGCGTTTTGAGGAGTAAGAGGGCGACAGGTTCTTTATTCCTGTATCCCGATTCCTGCCCGCGCGGGCGGGATTCGGGACGGGGGGTGTGAAAGGAACCCGTTTCATACCCTCATCTCTACTCCTCACTCGCCTTTTTGCCTGCCTTATCGGCTCAGGTACTGGAAGAGACCAAGACGCTGGTCGCACAGGAGGAAAATATCCTTATCTTTCCTTCCTTCTTCTACCTACGGATCAGGGGTTCTGTGCCTTTGGTACTCCATGCGCACCTCTTCCCCTCAGAGGCCAGCAACATATGTACACGTACGCGGTTAGCTTCCCCTGGAATGCGTGTCAACGCGGACGTTCGTGCAGGCAAGACCGCGGAGGGCGTGCATGTACATATGTCGTTGCTCGCCCACCCCTTCCTCCTCCTCCTTCTCCTCCTCCTCCTCTTCTTCCTTCTCCTCCTCCTCCTCCACCTCCTCCTCCTCCTTTTCTTGTAACCCTCCCTCCACCCGTTCCGCCAGCACGTGCCCCCCCCCCCCCCGCGGATCCTACGGGCGGGGGGCGATTTATCATCCCAGCCAGAGTGGCGATATCGGAATCCTTGGGCTCCTCCAAGGCCGTGCCTCGCGAACGCTCTCTTCCGCGCGCTGGACGCCCGCTGTCTCGGGTCGCTAGGCCCGCTGCTTGGGCAGAAGTAGTTCGAGGATCGAGGCTTTTGCTTGTTCTGAAATGCTTCGGCACTTTGCCAGGGTCTGCTTGTTGGTGGCTCCGGGGGTCCGAAAGGGTTCTAGGCGGGTCCAGGGGGTCTCAGGAGGAGAAAGGAGGAGGAGGTTCTGGGTGACAGCTGGGGGCCTCCCCGGAATGCAGGGGTGCACGAGACTTGGGGCCACGTGCTTTTCTCGACCCACTGCGAAGCCCCACGCGTTCTGACACGGGCGCTTGCTTCCCCCCTGCTCTTCTCGTGCCCAATTCACGTTTCCGCGTCCCGTTTTTGCCCCGACCGCGCTGCTACGGTCAGAAGCGTGTGCTTAGCGTGTCGTGCCGCCAGCTCTTGCCTACCAATCTTCGGCGCGACACGCTAACCAGGTCTCGGTCCCCAAGCGTCAACGGTCAGAGCTTTTCGGAACCTCCAGTCCGCGGAGCTGAGCGACGCGCTGTTGGCTCGGAAGGCGTAGTGTGTCGCCGGGGCCGCCGCCGCGACACGCTGAGCAAACGTTCCCGACGTCACATTTTTTCAGATTGTGCCCTCCGCAGGTTTGGACCCCTTCCCCAGGACCAGTTTTTCATCCTGAGTTGTTTTTCTCCGAATCGGATTGCCGATAGGAGTCCTAGCTCAAGCCGTAGAGAACTAGCCCACTGAGATCCCCCCCACTTTGTTTTGAACGATGACAATGGCCTCCTCTGCTATTGCAATGGTTTCTGCTGCTATTGCAATGCATTCCTCTGCTACTGCAGCGGCTTCCTGTGGCTACTCCTCGGGCGTCCCAGCAATCGTAAAACAATTGTTGAACTCAGAATCAGAGTCGAGAAGAGTAGAGCAACGTAGAGTAGAGAAGAGTATATGAGGAGGTTAGAACATAATAGAGTAGAGCAGCGCAGAGTGGAGTAGAGCTGAGAGTAGAGTAGAATAGAGTAGAGTAGAGTAGAGTAGAGTAGAGTAGAGGATATAGTTAGGACAAGTAGAGTTGACATATTAATAGGAGTCGAGTAGGGAGTAAGGTAGTGTATATTAGGTTAGGTTTGGGTAGGGTAGAGTCGTGTAGGGTAGAGCCGACCAGAGTAGGTAGATAGTAGTGTATAATCGGGTATAATCGAGTCGAGTAGAGGAGAGGATGGGATAATAGAGTAGGAGTAGGAGTAGGAGTATGAGTAGAGACAAGTTATCCAGGTCGACCAAGTCAGAGGGCCCCGCCTACTCGCCCTCCCCCACACAACATGACAATACATTGTTGCACAACTTGATATTGGGATTGGAACGCGCTCCCAGAGCAGAGTAGACTAGAGTAGGGTAGATGGTGAAGTAGAGTCGGGCATAACATATTAGAGTAGAGTAGAGTGGAGTAGAGTCCACCCCAGTTCAGTCCAGTCTACTCCAGTCCAGTCTACTTCAGTCCACTCCCGCCCACTTCATTTTTGTCTTCTGATCTATTCGGAGTCTGCGCTGGCTGATATTTGACGGTTCCATGCCAGAAGCCGAGAACATTGACCAGCACAGCTTGCTGTGTTTTTCCACAGCGCGAGGATGTCAGGGATCAGCTCCCCTGGTCCCGACGAGGCTCTCTCGAGCTGAGGCGCTACGCCGAGCTCTGGGGCTTCGACGGCGACGACCGCCAGTGGAGCCGCGACTTCGAGGCCGTCTGCCAGGAGCGCGGCTGGGAGCCGCGGGGCGGGGTGACCCGGTCGCCGGGCCGGCCGCCAAGGCCATGGGGCCGGCTCGGCATGGGGGGCCCGTCCGGCGGCGATCGGGGAAGCGTTCGACTCGAGTGCGCCGGAGCCTGGGCGTGCCGACGCCTCTAGGCGGGCCCGTCCCGAATGGTGGCGGGGGAGCTCGCGTCAAATTTCAGGCTGGGTCTCGTCTTTTTTGCCCCATGGCGAGCGTCAGCGGTCTGAGCCTCTCCGAGCGCCCCGCCCCGCGGAGCGGAGCGACGCGCTGTCCGCTCGCAGGGTATGGCGTGCCGCCAGGGCTGCCGCCGCGGCGCGCTGAGCAGAAGTCCTCGACCGCAAGAGCTGCCGCCCCCGAGGTCGCAGTTCGCCCGCCTGCTCAGCGACCAGGGGCGCTTCGGCCCCCCCCGCTGCAGCGACGAGCGGCTCGAGGAGCTGGTGACCGCGCTGCGTGCCGGGCGGCGGCCGCCCGCGGCCCGCCCGGGGTCGTGCCTTTGGCGCAGCCGCGCAGGCTTCGTCGTCGTCGTGCTCGTCCTCCTCCTCCTCCTCCTCCTCATCCTCCTCCTCCTCCTTCTCCTTCTCCTTCTCCTCCTCCACCTCCTCCTCCTCGTTCCTTGTTCCTCGTCCTCGTCGTCCTCCTCCTCCTGCTCCTCCTCCAACTGGCTGCGCTTCACGCCACTTGCGCTCCTCCTCCCACCTCCTCCGCCGCCTCCTCCTCCTCCTTCTCCACCTCCTCCTCCTCCACCTCCTCCTTCTCCTCCTCCTCCTTCTCCTAAACTGAGCGCCCAGACCGATCCCGAAAGAGGGCAGCCTTGGAGAACCCCGCTGCACACATAAAACATAAAGTGGAGCTCTCCGCCGAATCGTCCAAAGCCTCGGGGACAGAAGTAGAGGGCACGAAGGAGGTTGCGGTAGCCAGGAGGAACGCCGTGACGGCGAAGAACTTCGAAGATCCATTGGTGGGCGACCGATGGGAATGCTGCAGCAATGTCAATTGAGACAAAACAGGGCATGTTGAGGTCACCATCTGGAGCAATGCTAAGAGCACGAGCTGAGGCATCCATGTGCACAATGTTGCGGATCAAGTTTCTTCCGGTGACAAAACCACGCTGATTAGCATGCACTCGCTTGGCAACAATCTGGCGAAGCTGATGATTGGCAGCACTGGCGACGATTTCGGTGTCAGTGTTGCGCAGCGAGAGAGGGCGGAGTTTGCTCGGCTGCCGCACGCAATCGAATACGTCTTCTGGATTGCTGCCTTTCGGCAAACATGCAAATACAGAGTCATTCAAATCGAGGGACACAGGGTCGCCACGATACAACTGCCAAGATAGATCATGCAGTATATCGAGTTGCTCAGGTATCGCGGTCCAGGTTTGGTAGGTGAACCCGTCAGGTCCAGGAGCTGAGTTACGGGCGCGCCGCATGGCCACCTCGAGGCCCGCGCGCGTCGGGGTCGGAAGCAAGTCGACACCCGAGCCAACGAACACACGGTCTAAATAACTGCGGAGACTGTCGGGATCAACTCGCCTGGCTTTAGAAATCTCCCCCCAATGGTCCGACAAGGCACTGCGGATATCGTCGCTCGAGCGCGCAACGTCGTTACGACGCCCCCGCGGTCGACTCAGGACGGACCCCTTGGAGGATGAGGGCGCTGCCACGGGGCCTCCAGAGCATGGCACGTTTCTGGATGGCTCTCTGCTGCCGGCGTGCCTCTGCAGCAGTTTGGGCCTGTCCAGCCGCAGCCGAATGCTGGGCCAGGACGGCAACGTTCGATCGTCGGCGCTCAAGTGCAGCAGCACTCATCTCACGGAAAAGATCTCGGAACGCATCGGCTTCGAGGAGAGAGAGCAAGTCAGCGGAGGAGGAGGAGGAGGAGGAGGAGGAGGAGGAGGAGGAAGAGGAGGAGAGGGCGAGAAATCGAGCACCAAGCTCGGTGGTAGCCATCAGTGTGGCTCCTGTCCGAAGGTCTTGTCTCCAAACCGCGCGAGCAATTGCCCGCAGCGTGACAAGGTGGGCCTCGATCGCGTTCGTATCATTTGACGTGAGCGGGAGGCGCTGGAGCTCATTACGGGTCTCCCGTGCAGCCTCCCACATCTATTGCTTAAGATACTGCCAGCGGAGGTCCGCTGGAAGGTGTGAGATATCGACAGCGTGCAACAGGGCGGACAGCTTATCGCGATAGCGATAATCAGAAAAAATGAAGTTAGGAATCCGAGGCTCATTTGCTGACCCCGTGCCTCGATTCTGGAACGAAAGCGAAACCAACGCGTGGTCACTCAGACGGGCGTCCAGAAGCTGGCAAGGGTCAACATGAACTTCCGGGGCTCGAACTAAACGGTGTTTTCCTACTTTTTCCCATCTGTTTCCGTTTTATTTTTGTTTTTCGTTGTGAACGCGTTTCAAAACACGTTTTCACATGTTCTGAACGCTGGTCGTCGCGCCCATGCGTTTTGGCCACCGGGCTGCCGTTTTGTTGGTCGTTCTGTTCTGGCACAGGCGCGTGCCGCACGTTTTGTTGGGCGTTCTGTTTTCTCGTGGGCAGGCGCCGCTTGTTTTGTTGGCGTTTTGTTTTGCTGGGGGGTCACCCCCCCAGCACCACCACCCTGCACAATCCCGAAGCACCAGCCCCCCTCAGCACAAACCCCCAGCACAACCCCCCAGCACAACCCCCCAGCACAGCCCTGAAAACCCCCCAGCACGGCCCCCCAGCAAAACCCTCCCAAGCACAACCCTCCCCAGCACAACCCTCCCCAGCACAACCCCCCAGCACAACCTCCAGCACAACCTCCAGCACAACCTCCAGCACAACCTCCAGCACAACCTCCAGCACAACCTCCATCACAACCTCCAACGCAACCTCCCGCACAACCTCCAGCACAACCTCCAGCACAACGTCCAGCACAACCTCCCGCACAACCTCCAGCACAACCTCCAGCAGAACCTCCAGCACAACCTCCAGCAGAACCTCCAGCACAACCTCCCGCACAACCTCCAGCACAACCTCCCGCACAACCTCCCGCACAGCCTCCGGGCGTCCTGATGCGGTGACGGAGCCGAAACTGGTGATGTATTCTTGCCTCTGCCTTCGTACGGCTTGGCGTAGCTATCTCGGCCACTCGATCGGTCGATCCGCTGGCTTTGTTCCTGGCCCGCACGATCGTCGCACGCACTTCCACGCCCGTGCATATGCGACAGCGGTGGCGACGACGATGGTCATTTGCAGATCCGCCGGCCTTCTGAAGGCAGCCGACATGCCTCATTTCTGGCCGCCGTCGGTACGGCGCCTGGCCATCAACCGAGAGCATGCACGCGTCCAGCTGATGCGGCGCGGCAAAGGCTGGCAGTTGGTCGAGGCCTAGTTGCGTGGGGCCAGCTGGGCGGCCTTTTGGATCCGAAGGAGGTCATCAGGGACAACGGCGTGCTGGATCGAATTGCCCTCGTGGAAGCGGCTCAGATGCTTCGGCTGAATATTCTCTCCCTTGCGGAGTGGGATGGCAGTCTAGCTGTGCGGTGCGCTGTCAGTATAAGATCGTTGGCCAAGCTTGGGCAGTAGGCGTCAATCAGACCCACCAGTGGGCTGTCGGCTGAGAGGATGTTCAGCGGATATGTGGGATCGCATGGAGATTTCTTCGCGTCTGAGGTTGGAGTTCGGGATATGCAGCTTCCCGAGGAGTGCCTCCGCAATGGTGGGGACACCGAGCTTCGTCGGCGTCTCCTGCGCGTCCTCGCGCGCGAATCCCTGATGCCCTACCCGACATCGGCGTCGACGCGGCGGTGATGTGGCTCTTCGCAATGGCATTCGGGTGCAAGGATGCCCGCGTGTTCAGTAGAGGCTCTCGTCCGCTGGTTTGAGGGCAATTGGTGTTGTTCCGACGGGCGTTGGCAGCCTTGCCGGAAGGCATGTGTCGGGCGCAATCGTCGCCTTCGTCTCTGGGTTGAAGGTGTTGGAGGTTACGTGTATCTACTTGTCTACTACTGGTGTGAGCGGCAGTATTCGAAGAGTTGCTACGCGGCACTGTTCCTGGTCGGCCTGGCGAAGTATTGGTTCTTCTGCAGTCCGTTCCTGGTCGAGGTTGGGGGGTGAGACCGCAGTGGAACGGAGGGCGCCCCACCGGAACATCGGATTCGGTGCGCGCAGGCGAGGCTGAGCAAGCTGGGCGCGCGAGAGGACCGACCCCGCCGTCACAGGGGCGATTCGGATGCAGTGGGCCGTCCCTTCGCCCCCGGTGGGCGTGTGGTGGTCCAGGGTGTCTCGTCGTGGTGTCCTGTGGTGTCTCGTTGGTGACCCGTTGGTGTCCCGTCGGTGTTCCGTCGGCGGTGGGCGAGCGGTGGCCGGGGGCTTCCCGCCTTGGTATCGATAGTGAAGACGCTAGTGGGATCGATACTGGGATCGCCAGAATGGGATGGATAATACTATCAAAAGTGAAATCGACAGTGAAATTGATTGTGCCGTTGGTTGTAAGGTCGAAAGTGAGATCGATCGTGAGATCGATGAAGGTATCAAGAGTGAGATCGCTAGTGGGATCGATCGTTGGATCGATCGCTGAATCCAGCGGTACTGGCCGCGAGGTCGATAGTGGGATTGGCCGAGTGATATCGAAAGCGGGACGATCGTGACATTACATCGCAATGCAACATCATCATCACGCGTCGTCGCTAACTCGATGGCGCGGTACCAGCATCGTCATCATCACACCGATCGCATTTGCCAGCAGTTGATTCCCTCCGCCCTTCAACCTCCTTATCACCCGAAGGGTGGTCGCATAGGTTTCCAATTTGCGTTGGGGGATATCTCTGCTTGGGCTGCCAACAAAACCTTTGGATGGTGATCCCCTTCCAGTTAGCTCTGACACTTGCTCTTCGAGTTCGCATTCCTACCCGGGGTGTCGGAGAGCCTTTCCTCAAATGATCCTCCCCTTTTTACGTCACTTGGTGGTGTTGTCCAGTCTTCTTGATGGCGAATGGCAGTATCAGTTGTCGTCGTGAATTGGTATGTTCGATTCTTCCTCCACGCGAGAGGTGGAGGCGCAGTGAGTTCCCGCAGAGATATTGTACGGCTTCCTGGTCTTGTGCTCGTGGACGGGCCTGTGGGGATCTTGTGCGTGCGCCTCGCTGGGGAACTTTGCCTTCAAGAAGATGGAGTTATGAACGCTTTCTCCTTCCTCGGCGTGCTAACGGGGTCGTCCCCCGAACAGCTTAAGTTTGTGCCTCCTCCTTGTCGTCCTGCCTTTCCCTCCTTCCTGTTGCCCTGGAGCAGCCAGGGCGAACGCGAGCACCCGCTCCAGGAGCAGCTGCAGCGGACGCGAGCATGCCCAGCGCGACGCCGATCGGGCAGCAACAGCCTGCCCTCCTCCCCTCTCCCCCCAGCCCCTCGAGGCGGGCTCTGAAGACGCCCCTCTGCGCGCGGCGCCGAGGGCGGGCCGCGCTGGGCGCCGCGGCTGGGCGCCGCGGCCGGGGCGACCCCCGAAATGGGGACCTCCTCGTGCTTCGGGGCCAAAAGCCAGTCGCCCATCTGCCCCTCCCCCCCCCCCCCCTGGGCCATGGAGAATTCCCCACGGCAGGTTTTTGGGCAATCTGCGGCCTTTGGGGCCCCCCGTCGGGCGCCGGGACCGTCAGCAAAAAAACGGCTCGCGAGGAGAAGCCGCCCGTGGGGAAGGGGTCGAGGTTTCTCTGGGGGTCCGCGTCGCCTGGTCTTTCGTACCATTAGGGTCGTCTCTCGTTGTCCGTTCTGAGCTCTCACGGACCAGCCTCGCCAAGCCCGCCCCTACCATCTCAAATCTGAGTGGGCCGACGTCTGGCGTTCGCGCCTCGGGGCTAGAAGCCAGGCGCCCAGCTCGCGCGCTCCAGAGAGGTCCCTGCCCTCGAGGATCGAAGGAGTTGGGATTTCTCCCTCGGAGGAAGGCGGCGGAAGGCCAGCGGGGCCTGGAGGAAGCAACACGAGGGCGGCTTCGCCGGTGGAAGGCTGGCGGAAACCGGCCGAAATGCAAGATGCGCCCCCCAAGAGATGGCAAGATTTTTGGGGTCAGGGTTTCTGGAGCCCGTCATCACTTCCGCTCTCCCCTCGGGGGCGTCCAAGACGGGGGTGAAAACCAGGGGTGTGGGTATCCGTGGAGATCCTGGCGTTGCAATTCTCTCATATTGGGCCTTTTCGCCCGAATGCGGGTCCGGGGACCCTCACAGATCGGTCCGGCTCGAAAAATGCAGCAGACCGAGGGGGGTTCGGGTCTAGGGCTTTGTTCGTGAATTCTACGATGATGCAACTTTTTCGCGACTTCGGATCCCCGGGTCGTGGCCGAGGCTATGGTATCTCCCCAGGTTTCCCATCCTCTCCTGGTTCCTCCTCCTCCTCGTCCTCGTCGTCCTCCTCCTCCTCCTCCTCCTCCTCCTCCTCCTCCTCCTCCTCCCCTCCTCTCCTCTTCCAGCTTCATCCCGCCTCCCTCCTTCCCTGCTGGTCGGACTTGGAGCAGGAGGGAGGAGACATGCCAGAACGTCACAGCGCGCCGAAAGCGAGCAGGGAAAGCAGAGGGCAAGCGGGAAAGGCAGAGACGGCACGACTCGGCGAGCAGGCAGCTCACGAGCACAGCCAGCCACGGGCGGCCCAGTAGCCAGTCGCCAATGAGGGCTCCCTTAAACGGGGGGGTGGGACAAGCCAGGGCATTGGCGTGTCCGAGAGGGCTGCAGCCGTGGGTCACAGTATGATCCATGCTTTGATTCCCTCCAGGGTGGAACTGTCAAAGTCCACGTCTGGACCCACCTCGAAGGCGTGGCCGAAAGAGGAGGACCAGAGCAAACCCACGATGCGTCACCGAGGCTGCAGTACATCCGCACCCTCTCGTCCCAGGCATCTTCCCCTAGCATTCCTATAGACTTTCTTGTCCGCTTCAAGAACCCCTCTGGCAGACTAGCACCTTGTGAGCCTGCCATTCAGGCGAGAGCTCCGTTCTGAAAAGGACCGAATTGTCTTGCAGACTTCCAGCGAGACACAAGGAATCAGGAATGCGCACAGGCATGATTCTACAGCTCGAAGACGTGTCCAGCGAGACCCACGTTTTGAAACACGACCGCCCCATCCGTGTAACTCTTGCACACGTTTTTGATCACAGATGTACAGTCGGCCCAGATCAGTAGGTCGACCCTGCCAAATCAAGGGTACCCTTGTGTCCTGTGTCTCGCGACCCATGCTTCCTACATTCCTGCGGCAATGTGGCCCTCGGAAGGGTCTAGTGTCCTCTCGCGGGTCCTGTCCAATCGAGTCCGACTGTACCAAGCGAACGTTTACTTTTGAAGAGGAGCCGCCCTTCTTCCTTGAAGCTGTTGTGTATGTTCAGGTTCCAGGTCTCTAGATTTAATAGAACCCTCAAGCGAAAATCCGAGTTTGAAAAGGAACCGCTCACACTCCCTGTATCTGTTGCAAGCTTTTAGGACGAGTGTGCGCGGCGCTCAGGCGGGAAGCCACATTCAACTCGCTTCCTTCACGAGCAGTGACATCCCGTCGCACCACCAGTTGTGCCGGCAGGGCGGCTGGGGGGGTTTGCGCAGGCCCTCGTGAGAGTGCTGGCAGCCCAGAAGAGTGACGCCCACGGCATTTGCTCGGACGGAGCCCGGGCCGTTCTCGAATTCGAGCTCTCGCCCTACATGCAGTCAAGACGCCGAGATAAGACCACTTTGGGCTCAGGAGCGGCCCTGAATCTCGGGCCGTTCCTGAGGTGCGGGTCGGGATCGACCTCGTCGTGACGAGGCTTGCCGTGGCCAGACCAGCGCCTTCGTGCCTTACTCAGCGTTCCTTGCGGTAGCCGGATGGCTGTACACTTCCTCGCAGTGTACCGCTGTCCCAGTGTTGACATCTTCTTGCAGCTGCGCGGGTGGGGGCCCCTCCGCCGCGGCCCCCGCCCCGCGGCGGCGCTGCCGGGGGGGAGGTCTGCGAGGTCGGCACGGGCCGGAAGTTCACACCGGGCTGCCTGCTGGGCGCCGGCCCAGAGGCGCCGGGAGCGCCCCCGTCTGTCGAGGCCTCGCTCTGACTGTGTCGGAGCAGATAGGGTCGGCGGATCGCGCTGCATCGGTGATGCGGGTCGATGTGGAGCTCGATTTTCTTCATGCCGACGTCGCCGATGCATCGGCGATGCATCGGCGATGCGGCGCGATCCTCTACCCCGATCTACTCGGAGCCCATTTGGGAGGTCTCTGATCGGGAAGGGGTGGGGGGCGGGGACTCTTTTGGACTTGGAGGCCAGGGGATGGGCTCAAGGCAAAGCTGTGGAGGCAATATGGTGGAGCCCGCAGCTGCACTTGCAGCGTTGGGGCTATTTGCCCGACTTGCCCAGCTCCTGTGGCTCCTCCTCCTGCTCCTGCTCCTCCTCCTCCTCCTCCTTTCCAATCTTTCTCCCTCTTGCCCGACCCCATGAGTTAGGAAGGGACGCAGGGAGTAGCAGGGTAGGGCCGCAGCCGCGCGGTACAGACATCTGTCATACTTCTGTATACTTACTTGCGCTGCGTACTGAAGCACATCCAATTCCACATCTCTTTCAACCTCTTGCTATCCATTCATTGTCATTGCTATTGCACGCCTCACGGTATAACCAACCACTGACCTCCCCAGATCAAGTTGGTAGCGGAGCGGGCTCTGCCATCCGTGGCACCCCCTTTCACCAGCACAGTCATGAGCCACAAGGGATTTCAGTACGGACCGAAGGGCAAAGGTTACGGGACACCACCCGGAGTGGCACCTCCCTCGCCTTACCCACGAGCTTTCGGAGTAACCCCGCAGCATCCTTCCCCATGGTTTGGTCCAAGCATGCTCAAGGTGGCCCCAGCTTAGGGCCCAGACATGGAACAATCGTATCCTCTTCGACGTTGGGTCAAAGATGTTATGACTTGGAGTTTAGGTTCGGAGGTCCCCGCGCACAAGCAAGCACACCAAGTAGTATTGTCTCTCACGGGTACCCCCCCGAGCTCTGGCCCAAGAGCTGCACCAGGATTTCCTGACCGACGGCGCCGTCATAGATCTTTGGGACGGCGCAGGCCCTCAAAGCGTTTTTTTTTTTTTTTTCTTCTCCACAGGTTGTCAGAAGAGCCCGCGGAAGCGATCTCGAACATAGCATCCGAGCAATCAGCGAAATAATGTCGTTCACACGCTTGAGTTGGGAGACTGTGGATGAGGCAATTCTTCGTTTCGACATCTTGGCGTATAGGGCGGCCGGGTTTGGTTTTGACATGACCCCCCCCCTGGGAAGAGTTGGCGGCTGTTGCTAGCTCTGCGAGTTCCTGCGCACTTGTGGCCCCAGCTGTTCATGCAAGCTCAGACGGAGGGGAGCCTACCACAATATGATGATGCGTACAAGCGTCTACGACAGACCCTAAAGCAAACAGCACACTTCTTAGAAACTTGCCCGAACAACGTTTCCATGATAATGCAGCAAAATCCTGTGACCGCACAAGGTGCGACATATATGCACGATATTCTCGCAGTACCCCACGCTGCCACAAGGGAGTGGGGACAACCACTAGGACAGGTAGGACCAATCACCTTTGACCCCCCGGTCATGTTGGCATTTGGGGTAACGTTAAGTGAGATGGGAACCCAGTCGGGCAATCCCGGGTCGTGTGAAAAAATGCGGTTCTACATCTGCATGTTTGTATTTTGATGATTCCCATTTCGACACAGACACCGAATCCGACGACGAAAGCGAGTTTGCGGAGGAATTCTTAGGTCTAGTGCCACAGTACGGGCATGGACACGTAGCAGAGGATTTAGCAGCAGCTTACATATATCATCGTCGCAGGTTCCCTACATTCATTGGTAAACGTAGTAGGAGCACTCGTTTCGGGGCACGCCGAGCATTCCAAAAACATCGGGGCACAGCTTTTGGAGCGCGATGTGTGTGCAACTCTTTGTTGTAGTTGTGAAGATGGCAGCATTGAAGAACAACTTGTAGCTTTCAGGGGTCCCAACAAGCAGAGTTGGCGCAAGAACTTCCAAAAGGACAAAACCACATCGGGCCCGACGGCAAAATCATGAAATGCTCACAGTGCGAGAGCGAGAGCCATTTCCGGCGGAACTGCCCCAATAACCAGGAGTATCGAAACAGAGGCACGCCTTCAGCACCAGCTGGAAGGATGTTTGTCCAGACAATCGATCATGCCACATACGTTGCGACGCCATCAGCTGATTTCGCAGCACACACAGCACACGCACGCGCAAGCGCAAACGTATTCATTGTGCGATGATGTCGTGTCGGGCATGAGTGGAGCACTACGCCCAGAGGGCACCTCCACAATGGCGACGCTTGGGAGTTCTTCCAACGCCGGCGCAGCAACCGCGCCCAGTAGGGGAGATCAACGAGTGGATCCGAACATTGTCAGCAAACGTACGCAGCAACATCCCGAGAGCCCCGGAGAGCGCACCACCCAGGATCCCAGACGTCCAGAAACATTTCCCATGGATGTTGGTAGACAGCGAAGACACCGAACAAGCAGCATACAACGTGAATTTCCGAACCCGTTTGACCTCGGGGAGGGTCGGTCCTCTTGTGGGTCCAGGTGCGTATGACAAGTTGTGCGGGGATGACTGGGTCAAGACACGGATCAACATTGCTTCAACATTTGGCTTGAAGGAGCGCTTCTACCCCCTATCACGGTCAAGTGGGGTCGAAGGGGTAAGAAAAAAGGGGCACAAACAGTAGCTCATGCAGTCGAGGCGCCAGTTTGCATGGACGCGGATTCGAATCACAGCACATACGCCGCCTCCTGCGTTCCTAACTCGCCATTGCCAGGTCCTTTAGGTTTGAAGACTTTGGAGTGCCAGGATAGCGTTTTGGATTGTAGGCCCAGTCGCCAGAAACTCTATACGAGACCGGTAAAGATTGAGCCCTTTTCCAGTAGGGCTCACCAGCTCGAGAAAGTCCCTTCTGGTCATTTGGTTTTTCCTTGTGATGGTTGCAGCCGGATGCCATCAACAACAAAGATTGCGCAGAATTCGTATCAATCTTCCTTAACGCGACAAATGGACAAGCGATAATCCCAAACCTTTATTCGTGGATCGAGACAAGATCAAAATTCACTTCCGTCTTGCGCGCAGGCGCACACGTTGAGCCATGAGCGCTGTCATGCGCATGATGACGGGTCCTGCGCTGTCTTGCGTTCAGGGGGTAAATGGGAGACCCGTCCCCCTCACTTCCTCAGTGTCCTCCCAATCTTGCAACTATATACACACCACCTCCTCCCACTTGTCCTAGCATTTCGTCTGATTCGTGCTGCATGTCAGAGCCATGCGAAAACCTTTCGCGAGCACTGCCCACTGCTGCTGCCGCGGACGCTCATGGAGAGTCCATTTGGTTGTTTAACGATGATCGTGGTTACAGCACAATGTACATGCAGTCTTCCAGGGTCAGATCAAGACAGTTAACGTGGACATATCCATAGTTAGCAATCGTACGTCTTGTAAGTCCTTACTGCAGAAAATGAATGAGTTCAAACCTTGGTTGGTGTGGTGCAAATTGGTAGGACAAGAAGACGAACGCCACGACAGCCTAGATGATGTGACGTGTCGCGTGTGTACCTGTTACTGCTACAGCAGACACACCACTGCAAGAACACCAATGATGATTTCCTGTCACAAGCGTGTATGCAACCAGGCCCGAGTATGGAAGGGACGCAGGGAGTAGCAGGGTAGGGCTGCAGCCGCGCGGTACAGACATCTGTCATACTTCTGTATACAGTCGGCCGGGATTAGTAGGTCGACCCTGCCAGATCAAGGGTATCATTGTGTCCTGTGTCTCGCGACCCGTGCCTTCTGCATTCCTACGGCAGTGTGGCCCTCGGAAGGGTCTTATGTCCTCCCGCGTGTCCTGCCCAATGACTTCCGCCTGTAGTTACTCGCGCTGCGTACTGACACATATCCAATCCCACATATGTTTCTATCTCGTGCCAGCCTTTCATTGTCATTGCTATTGCACGCCTCGCGGCCTAACCAATCACTGATTTCCCCAGATCAAGTCCATGGCCCATGTCCTCTCGTCCTCCTCTTCTTCGCCTCCTCCTCTTTTGGCCACTCAGAGCGAAACCGCCGCTGCTCATCTGCGTGGCTGGAGCGGGAGACCCCTACTACAAACGCAACTATCATGTGACCCGTAGCGGATGATTCTTGGCAGCACGGCACCTCGCGTCAGGGCCGGTACGGCATTGCAGAGAGACGGAGGGAAGAGGTGAAAGTCCCCAGTCTCCTCCTCCTCCTCCTCCTCGACTCATGTTCCTCCCCCGTCCCCCTGCCGACGGCACGCATGTGTGGAAGATGACTGAGGCGTCGCTGCACAAGAAGACGCGTTTCTTGCAGCGGGCCAACATCTGAAGTGCGGCGAAAGTGCGACGGTAATTTCGAGTTGGCTGTTGCCTCGTTGCGCGCTCAAAACTACGGTACCTACCTCTGCATGGGCCCGCGCGTAGCGCCGCTTGCCCGCTTTGGCCCGACGGGCCCGAGTCGCAGGGGGTTCAAGCAAATCCGTGCTTTTCCTCCTCCTCCTCCTCCTCCTCTTCCTCCTCCTCCTCCTCCTCCGCCTCCGCCTCCTCCTCCTCCTCCTCCTCCTCCTCCTCCTCCTCCTCCTCCTCCTCCCCCATTTTATCTCCACCTCCACCCCTCTGTATCAAGTCTGGCTCAGGTCCAGCTCAGGACGCAGCGCCGCCGCCTCTACGCCCTCGAGAGGCGGGGCCCCGCGCGGCCTGGGCGATTTGCTATGGAGGAAGCCCAGAGCGTGGCGGTCTGGTGTCTCGAAGGGGCTCCTCCGAGGATGCCGTCCTTCAACGCCCTGTGTTTGGAGAGCGTGGAACCCGCCAAGCTGAGCTCGCCGCGGCCGCTGAGCGACCCAGTGCCGCTCACTGGAGCTCGTGAGCGAAAAGCATATCCGCATCCGCGGCCTCGCGGGCCGGGCCTCTGCGCCGCGACCCTGTGGATACGGGGCGTTCTTTCGCGGGTGCCCCGTGCGACCGCGTATCCGCGGGATCGCGCCCCGGAATCGAGACCGCGAGGGCGCGGACATGGATACATGTTCGCCACTCGTAAGGAGCGTCGAGGTCCTGGAACGACCCCTTGCCCGTCGAGAATGGCCGACAGGCCGAGGCGGGCGGCCCCCACGCAGGGGCCACCGCCCCGTGCGAGTGGCTGCGCCGGTCGCTGCTGGAGGAGCGGGCCGCCGTGGCCAGGGATCTGCTCGCCAGGCACGCCGCGCTGGTGGCCGGGCTGTGCGCGCCGGCAGCCGGCGGGCCTCCCAGGCTGGCCTGGTCCGTGGCCGAGGCCTCGGGGAACAAATAATATGTCAGCCACGCGCAGAGGGGGAGGGGGGGAGGGCTTCTTAGAGGCACTCCTGTTTCTTAGGAGGCGTGGACCTCATCCATCGATGGAAGGCCGCCGCCTTCTAAGTGGCAGCCTCCTTCTAATCCTCCCCTCTTGTGCGCGCCGCCAATAATGACATAATCATTGGAAAGAGCGTGTTCTACCGCTGCTTGCGGAAAACCGGGGGGGGTCACTACCGGTTCGAACTCCTCCCCCCTCCCCCCCCTCCGCAAAACCGGGGGGGGTCACTACCGGTTCGAACCTCTCCCCCCCCCCAGTTCAACATGAAAAGGGGGGGGGGTCACTACCGGTTCGAACCCCCTCCCCCCCTCAAAAACCGGGGGGGTCACTACCGGTTCGAACCTCCCTCCCCCCTCGAAAACCGAGGGGGGGTGCGGACAGTGGTGGGGACGGTGGTGGTGGGGACAATGGTGAGGGGACAGCGGGACAGTGGTGGGGACAGCGGGACAGTGGTGGGGACTGTAGTGGTGGGGACTGGTGAGGACAATGGTGGGAACAGTGGGGACGGTGGACAGTGGTGGGGACGGTGGTGGTGGGGACAGTGGTGTGGGGACAGGGGGAGGTGGAAACAGTGGGACAGTGGAGGGTACAGTGGTGGTGGGGACAGTGGTGAAGGCGGTGGCGAGGACGGCGGTGGGACAATGGGACAGAGGTACAGTGGGGACAGTGGTGGGGACAGTGGGGACAGTGGTGGGAACAGTGGGACAGCTCAGTGGGACAGCGGAGGAGTCAGTGGGACAGTGGGGACAGTGGGGATAGTCGGGCAGTGGTTGGGGCCGTGGAGAAAGTGGGGAGAGTGGAACCGTGGTGGGAACAGTGGTGGGGACAGTGGGGACAGTGCGACAGTGGTGGGAGCACTGGTGGGGACAGTAGGGACGGTGGTGGAACCAGTGGGGACAGTGGTGGTGAGGACAGTGGTGCTGGGAACAACAGTGGGGGATGTGGCGCGGACGGTGGTAGGGACCGGGAGTCGTTTGCTGGCGGTGAGTGGGGGGGGGGGTGGGGGGTTCGAACCGGTAGTGACCCCCCTCCGGTTTTCGAGGGGGGGGGGTTCGAACCGGTAGTGACCCCCCGGTTTTCGAGGGGGAGGGGGGGGGGGAGGGGTTAGGGGAGGGGGGGGGTTTGCCGGGGGAGGGGAGGGGGGGGGGATCCAGCAGGGGGGGGGGATTTTCGGAGGGGGGGGGGGACCCCCGGGTTCCAGAGGAAGAGGGGGGCAATTTTCTACAGTAAAGCGGCGGTGGATCACGCTCTCTCAATCATTGGGAGGTCCGCTCCGGTTTCTTGGATCGGTGCTGGACCCCTCTGGCGGTGCTTCCAGCGCAACACCTAGCGCGTTCCGCGCGCCAGGGAGGGGTGGTCCAGCGCCGATCCAGTAAATCCGCGCAGACCTCATAAAGTGTATGCTCATCACTACTTACTAAGCCACCCCCGCCCAACCCGAAGGCCCTGGACCACTCCAAACTTCGGGCTAGGGGGTGTGAGGGCTCAATCGTATTACGTCACTGCTATGGAGTGCCCCCCCACCGGACATTGATGAGCCCGACGATGACTTCAGGTTGGGTTGGGGTGGTTTGGTAGGGACAGCGGCCAGCTGTTGTCATCCTTCGTTCCCCTCAGGCCGCCCAGGGCGGCGCCACCTCGCGCGCGCACCTCAGGGAGGCGCGGGCCGCGTCGTGGGACCCAGAGCAGGGCGGCGGCGGCACGCCCGGCTGCGCGCACGTGGTCGGGGGAGGCGGCCGGAGGGGCTCGATGTATACCCCAATGGTCTGTAATAAGAGCGGGGGGTCACAACCCTCCCAGACGAGCAGTGTTAGAGCCCACCCAGACCAGCCGTGAAAGGGTGGCCTGATGCCCAGAACCCACTGGAGCCCTCCAAAACGGTTCAAATCAGACCCCCCCCCAGATCAGACCACCACCCTTTTATTGTGAAATCTGGAGTGCCCATACCCCCTCGAGGTTGAAGAAATCACGACGGGCGGTTTTTTATTATCTTGAGCCTCTGGGGGCCCTCACCGGGTCTCGGGGCCGTCAGAAAACGATTCAGGACGAGAAGCCATTCCCGGTGGGATGGGTCGAAACTTTTGGGGGTCGATGTTATGAACAAATCTCATCAGACGTTATGAAAATAGTGGCGTGGGGGGTTTGGGTACAGTACGTATCTGGATATATTGTGGTGCGGAGCTGGGGGTCCGCGGACCTTTCCCCGAGAGGGGTGTCAATCACTTCTTTTCCTCATCAATCAACTCGCGAGCCAAAACGGCTCAGATACAGTACATATCACTGCTGGCCATCACCAGCTTATCAGCAACCCATGAAACTCACTTGTCTCACTCACTTCTCCCATCTTGTCACCTCATTTACAATGTTTCCTGGACTCCTCCTCGAGTCCGACTGCATATCTGATCCAAGGAACTATTCGCATCTGGAAACATCTCGATCTCCCCTTGATTCTGAGTTACCTCCCATGAACCGCCGATCGAAGCAGCCAATCCTCAGAAATCCGTACAGCTTCCTGGTTTTGTCATTTCTGGTATCCATCATGGCTGTGTAGACGCACGTCTTGACAACCACAAGCTTCGTGTGGCATGTTGTGTCCAGGGCTCACGTCTCTCTCGCGAAGGTACTTCCTGGCCTCCTCGACCGTGATAGCATTGAACACCATTGTCAACTACTTCTCGATGATCTCTGCAGTCTCCTTGTTCCTGCAAATGTCCTCCAGGCTGTACCGAGGCGAGGTATCACGCTGGGTTGTCGTATTCGTCCATCTCCGCGTCTTGTAAGTGCTGGTCGTCATGATGATACGGAAGGTGCTCACCACCATGATCACGTTGTTGTAGATGATACGTAGCCAAAGCGGTTGATCGTAGTCTGCTCCAGAACTGCCATTGGTCCAATTGTGTGGTCCACAATTTCACCCGCGGCGTCAGCCCGTCCTAGTTGTAGCGCACCGCCGACTCCCACGAGACAACGAGTTAGTGCCTCGAGCAGGTCGGCAATTGGCTTGCCAATCTGGCTCCTTATGCAGGTGTGATCTCGACCTCCGGCCTGACACTGCATCGACTTCTCCTTTGTCTCCAAGTTTGACTCCCATGATCTCGAACAGTCGCATGACACCAACTCTAGTCAGGTACTTGGTCCCGATGTCCGCCGTGTTGACGTCGGTATGGATCTTCCTCGTGCTGACCCTGGTCTCCTCCTTCCTGACTGCCAGCTCCCAAACCCACAGATCCTTCAGCTCGATGTGTCGCATGCGTCCCACTTCTTTCTTCTCGACGTTGGCGAGGGCGCTGCTATTGTCGCTGCTATGCACGTTGCATGTAAGAAAGGTATACCCCTAAGGGGGTGCGATCGAAGACGAAGCGGGCGGGTATCGAGGGTGTGTGATATACGTGTTGAATGGCACGCGAGCAGATAAGAGCGGACAGTCCTAAGCTGATTGTTGTTGTTGTTGTTGGTGGTGGTGGTGGTGGTGGTGGTGGTGGTGTTATTGTTATTGCTTGCTTGCTTGTTTGTTCGTTTGTTTGTTTGTTTGTTTGTGGGTGCGTGTTTTGAATACTACGCTAATGTGTTCGTCCAACCAAAATGGAAACACTAGCTACAGCCCAAAACGGAAACTAAAGCTGCAAAACACAACGGGACCGAGCAACGGTTACACACAGATGAAAAACGCTGCCCTGAAAGGAACAGCAGCGTCGATCTTGAAAGCGACCCCCCCAGTGTTTTTGACATCATTTGATCTAAGTCGTTGGCCGATCACACGGCGTGGTGTGTATTTCGAGCGTCTATGCATGCGAGGCGGGGCAGACCATCGCCTGGCTGGAGAGCCTGGAGGGGGTGCCGCCGCCAGCAGAAGACCGGCAAAGGGAGAACATGTAGTACAGTCGAGCATTTGATTAAGTCGGGGACGGCAAAGAGGGGGGTGATGACGGGGGGGGGGGGGACATCATGGCGGGAACCATGATATCTCCCCAGATCTCATGCCGCCTCTTCTTATTTCAATACGTCCCCAGGCCCCCCCCTGGGCAGCGCACGTGCTGCCGGCCATGATTTGCGCCCCCTCCCTTGGACGCCTCCCTCTTGGCCGCCCCCGATTCAGAAGCCTCCTCCCGAAGAGCTGGGGCAGCGTTTCGTAACCAGCTTGCCGGAGAGCTGGCCCAGTTCCTTGAGCACGTTCGCCCCTCCAGCCTTTCAACAGCGATTGGCCCAGCCTTGGTTTAAGAAACTTCTGGGAAGCCAGCCCAGGTTTCTAACATGATAGTTTTCTTGGTCATATAGTCGGCTGCCGATTTTCGGATGCCCGTGCGGACTTCCCGCGCAGGCGGCGATGTGCCCGCGCGGACTTCTTGCGCCAGCGGCGATGTACTCCCTTCCCTGGCGCGAACCCAGACCCCCTCGGGTCATGAAAAAATCACGGCGAGAGGTTTTTGGCAATTTTCTGCTTCTGTGGGCCCTCGCCGGGCCCCAGGACCGTCAAACAACGACTCAGGATGAAGCACCAGCCCTGGGAAGTGATCGAGAGGTCGGGGGCCCGTGTCTCGAACAAATTCGAGACGCCAGATGTCTGGGTCCTAGCCCAGCGGCGTTGGACTCCCCTCCCCGGCGCGAAGGGATCGCGCCAGGGCGCCTCCGGGTGCTGGGAGAGGGTTCCAGCGCGGAGCCAAGAAGTCCGCGCGGACCCCGATAAAGTTGATGCCCGTATCTCCTTTTGGGTCTTCTGGCCAGCCTCTCGGCATCGCGGCAGGGCGCTGCGGAGCACCGCCGGCTCGTCGGAGCAGCGCGCCCACAACAGGTCGGAGAGAGCCTCTGAGGCATCTGGCCGCGGCTCGATGCGCTGGAGCGATGTGCTGGATACCGCGAATCAGAAGGCTCCAGGCCTCCCAAATGGTGCCGGCGAAGATGGGGTCGGATGATCTCGCCGCGTCGCCGATGCATCGGCGACGCGGCTCCATGTTGAACCCCATTTTTCCACGCCGACGTCGCCGACGCATCGCCGATACATCGGCGATGTGTTGGCGATGCGGCACGATCGTCTGACCTCACCTGCTCGGACTCCATTTGGAAGGCCTTCAGACGTGGTTCGCAAAGCACACCGCCTCTTCCAACTGAGGAGCCGAAGAAGCAAGATCGGCACACATAATGAGCATAACCTTTCAGACGTCCCTGCGGGTTCCTTGGATCGGCGCTGGACCCCCCCCTCCTTTGCAGCGCCTCCGGCGCTGCCTCTGGCGCGCTCTGCGTGCCAGGGAGGGTGGTCAGTGCCGATCCCAGAACTCCGCGCGGACCTCCGAAAGTTCATTTTTCATGCATGCCATGCCGCTCTTTCTTATTCTGAGGAAGCCCGCGAGTCAAGAGGTGGGGAAGCTTCGCCAGGTCGTGACGAGCACCAGGATGGAGCTCGCCTCGGCCGGGGTCATAGTCGTGACCATACTGTGCGTGGCGCTGGAGGTTCAGTACCACGGTTTTCAAATTGGCTTGGACCTCGGTTATCGCTGGTATAGCGAGACCCCCCAGGAGAGGTGGCCCTTCGCGGAGACCATGTTCTTGGTCATGGATTATGCTTGTGGGGGCGCGCTCACTATCGAGCTGTTGCTGAAAGGGATTGCCCTTCGTAGCGATGTTTTTCAAGATTGTTGGAACTTCATGGACCTCATCGTCACGTGTTGTTGGTATATTGCGGTCATGGGCGAGAACATCGTACCAATGGACTCGTCGATGCTTCGCATGGGGCGATTAGTGCGGCTTTTCCGCCTGCTCAAGCTGGCGAAGCAGATCCAAGGTTTCGACTCGTTATACCTGATGACTACTGCAATTCGTGGCAGTGCTGCGTCGCTTGCGTGGTTTTGCTGCTTACTTAGTTTATTCCAGGTCGCTGTTGCGCTCGCTGTCAATTGGGTTTTGACCACCTGGTATCTCGAGAATGATTCCTACCCCGAGGAGGACCGCCTGCAGGTGTTCGAGTATTGGGGCTCGTTTTCGAGGGCGATTCTGACCACCTTCGAGATTACCTTGGCACACTTTCCCGAACCCTGCAGGATGCTGTCCGAAAATGTCAGTGAGTGGTTTGTGGTCTTCTTTGTCACGCACAAGCTCACCATCGGTTTCGCCGTGATCGGTGTGATCAATGGCGTCTTTATACAGCTGCCTGCGGCAATTCCGCCACCATGCTAGCGCAGCACACTGTGTGGCGAGTTTTCGGGCACCGCCAATATAGCCAAAGTATGTGACGCCTCTCGTCTCTTGAGGTTGATGGGACATCCTGTGGCTTACCTGGACCGTCTCGGGGGTGTCTTGGGCTCCTGTGGGCCGCCTTGGGGCCGTCTTGGGCCGTATTAGGGCCGTCTTGTGTCCCTCTCGGCCGTCTGGGGAGTCTCTTGAGGGAATCGTGGGCCCTCGTGGGCCATCTTGAGGCCCTCGTGAGCCATCCTGGGGCTCTCTTGGCCCGTATTGTGGCCTTCTTGAGGTCTTACCGGGCGGTCTTAGACCGTCTGGAGGCGGCTCTGGGGACCATCACGGGGCTATTTTGGGCTCTCTCTGTAGCTCCTCTGAGGTCCTATTCGAACCATCCTGAGCCGAGAGGCGCGGAAAGCAACAGTCTGCGAACTCCTGAGGGACTCCCTGTTCCCAACCCTCCTGTGTTGGGTTCTCGTTTTGAACAGAGCGCTGTCTGGTCCGTTCCTCCTTCCTCCTTCCTTCCTTCTCCTCCTCTTTCTCTTCTGCCTTCCTTCTACTCCTCTTCCTCCTCCCCCCCTTCTCCTCCTCCTCTTCCTCCTTCTCCCTCTTGCTCCGTGGGGGGCTGCGAACTGAGAAACTGCCGCCAGTTACGTGGGCTCCTGGGAGGTCCAGCGGAGTGGATTTGTAAACAGATCCCACCGAGACCTCGTGGCTCCCTGTGGGGGGCGGTGGCTGCGAACTGCGCAACTGTCGCCAGTTTCGTGGGCTCCTGGGAGGTCCAGCGGAGTGGATTTGTAAACAGATCCCGCCGAGACCTCGCGGCTCCTTGGGGAGAGGGGGGGGGGGACTGCGAACTGCGCAACAGTCGCCACTTTCGCGGGCTCCTGGGAGGTCCAGCGGAGTGGCTCCAGCACCACAGCCGCGCCCGCGCGCACGACGACGATGAGCGACGTGCGACGAGCGACGAGCGACGACGACGACGACGACGACGACGACGACGACGACGACGACGACGACGACGACGACGACGACGACGACGACGACGACGACGACGACGACGACGACGACGACGACGACGACGACGACGACGACGACGACGACGACGACGACGACGACGACGACGACGACGACGACGACGACGACGACGACGACGACGACCGACGACGACGACGACGACGACGACGACGACGACGACGACGACGACGACGACGACGACGACGACGACGACGACGACGACGACGACGACGACGACGACGACGACGACGACGACGACGACGACGACGACGACGACGACGACGACGACGACGACGACGACGACGACGACGACGACGACGTCGACGACGACGACGACGACGACGACGCAAGCAGCATGTAGGTGTCGATCTGCCCCACAGCGCCTGTGTACACCACAGTGCTCGGGTGCACCACAGCGCGCGTGTACACCAGAGCGCCTGCTTACACCGCAACAGCCGTGTGCAACGCAGCGCTTGCGTACGCCACAGTGCTTGCGTGCACCACAGCACTGGTGCACACCACAGCGAATGTGTACACCGCAGCATCCGAATGCAACGCAGCGCTGGTGTACACCACAGTGCCTGCGTGCACAGGACAGGTAGAAGGAGCATGTATGCGAGGATCTGCTGGGGACAGCTAAACGCCACGCCAGGGAAGTGCTGATGATACAATTCGACGTTCTTCCCTGCTCCCTCCTCCACCTCCACCTCTTCCTCCTCCTCCTCCTCTTCCTCCTCCTCCTCCTCCTCCTCTTCCTCCTCCTCCTCCCTCACCCTTCCCCCCTGTCGTGCCGGTCGGCACTGAAGCGTACGTGCTCATTTCAGCGTGCACCGCATAATGGTCTATTTGATCAGTCCGCTTGGTTCTCGGACGGCCAATTTTGCTGCAGCCTCCTGGACGCGGACGGGAGAAGTTAGGAGGATGATTCGGGCTGACTCGTAGATTCCAACGGCGCTCCTTTTTCCATCAGGATTCCTTAAAGCAACTTTTGTTCTGGAATGTACAGGCGCTCCATTTTGTTATAAGGATTCTTCATTCAATTCTGTATGCAACAGTGGTGCTCTCTTGCACACGATTGCTGTGGTGCACACAGGCGCCTTGGTGTACACAGGCGCTGTAGTGCGCTGTCGCGCGATCCGTTACCCGGAAGAAATCAAATTAGGGGGAGTTCGAGAGGGGTGACATTCCCAGCTTCAGGTTGAAAATTCATCCTCGTATCGTAAGCTCGCGTAAGCTCTGCGTAAGCTCCGCGTAAGCTCGCGTAAGGTCGCGTAAGCTTGTGTAAGCTCCGCGCAAGCGCGTGAACTCCTCGTAATTTGGAGGCGTCTTGGGCTGTCCTAGGGGCCTCCCGGGCTTGCTTGGGTGCTCCAGCCCGCGTGAGCTCTGCGTGAGCCCCGCGTAAGCTTTGCGTAAGCTCGCTTAAGCCCCGCGTGAGCGCGTAAGCTCCTCTAAGGGAGGCTTAAGATGGCCGCAAGACGGGCCGCCAAGATGCCCCAAGGGGCTCCCCAAGAGGGCCTGGGAAGGCAAAACAGCTCAATAAGGCTTGAGGAGGCTGCATACATAGAGAGCGCTCCAAGACGGTCCACGATGGTCCAAGAGCGCTCCAGAACGCTCCGAGACGGCCCACGAGCGCTCCTAGACTATCCAAGATGGCCCAGGGGCGCTCCAAGATAGTCCAAGAGCGCTCCAAAACGATAACACACAAAACCGCGCCCTGACGGCGCATTGGCGAGATCTGACAGAAAACATATGCGAACTTGCATGCACGAAGATGTGACACACTGCGACCGCTAAGCCAGCGCGGTGCCTCGGGGGCTATCGTTGTACCCTTTGCTCCAACGTAGTGCGAGGGATAGCTGCGCGGCGCGTCAGGGGGCGAGGAGGAGGGAGGGAGACGAGAGGAAGGCTGAGACGTACAAAGAGCGCTCCAAGACGGTCCACGATCGCCTCAAGGCGGCCAAAGAGGCCTCGAAGACGCCCCAAGAGGCCCCCCCAAGAGGCCCCCAAAGAGGCCCCCAAGAGACCCTGAAGAGGCTGAATTGCTTCAGGTGGTTGATCGTTTTTTAGCTTCTCGCAGATTCGGGCCAAGAACGCCCCGAGACAGCTTTGGGAGTCCCCGGGATTACGCCAAGACGGCCCAAAAGGCTCCCAAGAGGGCCTCAAGACGGCCCAAGGGGGCCCCAAGAAGGCCAAAGAGGGTCCCAAGACGGCCAAAGAGAGCTCCAGTTGACTGCCCAAGGAGGGCCCCAGAGTGCCCCAAGAGGCTCACTAGGAAGCCCAGAACACGGCAGCAAGGGTCACAATGCGACATTCCAGTCAAGAGAGCAGGGTTAAGGGAACACATGATATGATGAGAGAAGGGCGAGGGAAAGATGGGAAAGAAGTGGAGGAATAATTGATACGCAAGCGACCTCTCGTGCTCTTTCCGTCCCCGTGCTAAGCAGGTTCTTACACGCCCACCAGGGGCGCTCTAGAAAGGGCTTCGCCTTCGAGGCATCGAGGACTTGGCATATTTTCGGCAGAAGGCGGCGGAAGGCCAGCGGAAGGCGGCGGAAACAAAACGAGGGCTGCTCCGCTGGATGACGCCGGCGGAAGCAAAACATCCCCCCAGTAGATATCTGTTTTGTTGGATTCAGAGTTGAACGAGCCACATGCGTCGGCCACATCGTACAGGCACGGTGGCGGATCCAAGAAACGTTCAAGGTCGCCACAACGGACGACTTGCTCATGATCAGTGAGCAGATGGTTAAGACGCACGCGCGCAAGATGGAGCGGCTGTTCCAGGCCGCGGACGGGGACGGGCTGCTGGACGCGGACGAGTTCCAGGCACTGAGATCTGCGTGTCTATTGGAAACCGAGTTCGAATTCAAGAAACTCATATTTTGTAGTTTGGATGTCTTTTGAATTTAACTGCGGCTTCCAAGAGCACGCACGCAAACTCCTCGTTCTAGGCGATCATGCAGGAGCCAGACGTGCAGACGTGGATGGCCTCCATGGACCTGGATGTGGCAGACGCCAGGATGTCAGAGGAGAAGCAAATACCGCTACTGCTAACTTTTCCCTCGTCGCCACAGCTGGATTCGTTTCTAAAGCCTGGTCAGAACGCGCCCCAGAGAGGTCCGGGTGGTATCGGTATCGGTATCGGCCCTGAGAGGAAAAAGCTGCATTATTGTTATTGTTTGGAGGTCCGCGCGGATTTCTTGGATCTGCGCTGGCCCCCCCCCGCCCCTGGCGTGTTCTTCGCGCCAGGGAGAGTGGTCCAGCGCAGATCCAACAAACCCACAAAAGCCTTCGAAAGTCTATGTTTATGTAGTTTTACCTTCTTCCAAGGCTGGTTTTTAGTTTGGCAGACGCCGATGGCGACGGGAAACTTGACGCTGAGGAGCTGGTTTCAGGAGTTTCACGACTCATGGGCGACGCGCGAAACCTGGACATGATGATACTCATGCGTGTGATTAAGAAAGACGTCATCCCGCAGCTCGACCTCATCCTCGGGAGATCCGCCGAGCGGATGCCTGCTGGTTCGCAGCTGGGGCAATTTTGACTGCGTTGTCTCAGTCGCTCCCTAGCTTAGTACTTGGATGGAGTTTGTTTTTTTCCCAACCATCCTGTGGTGTTGGGTCCACGTTTTGAAGAGACGGTCCCCGCGTTCCTTCCCTCCTTCCTTCCTCCTCCCCCTCCTCCCTCCTCCCATCCCTGCCTCTGCCCTGCGCATGTCCGCAGCGTTTCGTGGCCACATAGGGAGCTTCACCTAAGGTCCCAGTGGCGGTATCCACATGCGTCTCCCCCCCACTACGGCGTTTCGTGGCCCCATACGGAGCTCCACCTAAGGTCCCAGTCGCGGTGTCCACATGCGTCTCCCCCACCCGGCGCAGCGTTTCGTGGCTCCATAGGGAGCTCCACCTAAGGTCCCAGAGGCGGTGTCACCATGCATCTCCCCCACCTAGCACAGCGTTTCGTGGTCACATAGGGAGTTCCACCTAAAGCCCCAGTGGCGGTGTCCACATGCGTCTCCCAGACCCCGCACAGCGTTCCGTGGAAACACAGGGAGCTCCACCTAAGGTCTCAGTGGCGGAGTCCACATGCGTCTCCCCCACCAAGCACAGCGCCTCATGGCTCCATAGGGAGCTCCACTTAAGGTCCCAGTGGCGGTGTCCACATGCGTCTCCCCCACCCAGCACAGCGTTTCGTGGTCACGTAGGGAGTTCCACCTAAAGCCCCAGTGGCGGTGTCCACATGCGTTTCCCAGACCCAGCGCAGCGTTTCGTGGCTCCATAGGGAGCTCCACCTAAAGCACGAGCTGCGGTGTCCACATGGGTCCCCCCCCCACCCAGAGAGGTTTCGTGGTCACATAGGGAGTTCCACCTAAAGTCCCAGTGGCGGTGTCCACATGCGTCTCCCAGACCCAGCGCAGCGTTCCGTGGCTCCATAGGGAGCTCCACTTCAGGTCCCAGTAGTGGTGTCCACATGGGTCCCCCCCACCCAGCACAGCGTTTCGTGGCCACATAAGGAGCTCCACCTAAGGTCCTGGTGGCGGTGTCCACGTGGCTCTCCCCCACCCAGCACAACGCTGCGTGGCTCCATAGGGAGCTCCACCCAAGGCCCCAGTGGCGGTGTCCACATGCGTCTCCCCCACCCAGCACAGCGTTTCGTGGCCACATCAAGAGCTCCACCTAAGGTCCCGGTGGCGGTGTCCACATGCGTCTCCTCCACCCAGCGCAGCGTTTCATGGCTCCATAGGGAGCTCCACCTAAGGTCCCAGAGGCTGTGTCACCATGCGTCTCCCCCACCCAGTGCAGCGTTTCGTGGTAACATAGGGAGTTCCACCTAAAGCCCCAGTGGCGGTGTCCACATGCGTTTCCCAGACCCAGCGCAGCGCTTCGTGGCTCCATAGGGAGCTCCTGGGTCCCCCCCCCACCCAGAGAGGTTTCGTGGTCACATAGGGATTTCCACCTAAAGTCCCAGTGGCGGTGTCCACATGCGTCTCCCAGACCCAGCGCAGCGTTTCGTGGCTCCATAGGGAGCTCCACTTAAGGCCCCAGTGGCGGAGTCCACATGCGTCTCCACCACCCAGCACAGCGTTTCGTGGCCACATAGGGAGCTCCACCTAAGGCCCCAGTGGTGGTGCCCACATGCGTCTCCCCCACCCAGCGCAGCGTTTCGTGGCCTCATATGCAGCTCCACCTAAGGTCGCAGTTGCGGTGTCCACGTGGGTCTCCCCCACCCAGTACAGCGCTTCGCGGCCCATACGTAGGGAGTTCCACCGAAGGCGATACCCACAACTGCGGTACATATGCTTGGGTCCTTCGCCAGGCTAAGTGTTTGTTCTCTCTTTCTCTCTCAGGCTCTGACTCTCTGACACTTTTTTCCCAACCATCCTGTGGTGTTGGGTCCTCGTTTTGAAGAGACAGCGCCCCGCGTTCCTTCCTTCCCGCTGCCCCCTCCCTCCTCCCATCTTCATCATCATCGTCATCACCCATTTCGGCACACCCCTCACACGTTTCGTGGCCCCATAGGGAGCTCCACCGAAGGTCCCAGTGGGTGTGCCCGCATGCGTCCCGCACACCCATTTCGGCACACCCCTCACACGTTTCGTGGCCCCATGGGGGGCTCCACCGAAGGTCCCAGTGGGTGTGCCCGCATGCGTCCCGCACACACATTTCGGCACACCCCTCACACGTTTCGCCCCATAGGGAGCTCCACCGAAGGTCCCAGTGGGTGTGCCCGCATGCGTCCCGCACACCCATTTGGCACACCCTTCACACGTTCCGTGGCCCCATAGGGAGCTCCACCGAAGGTCCCAGTGGGTGTGCCCGCATGCGTCCCGCACACCCATTTCGGCACACCCCTCACACGTTTCGTGGCCCCATAGGGAGCTCCACCGAAGGTCCCAGTGGGTGTGCCCGCATGCGTCCCGCACCCATTTCGGCACACCCCTCACACGTTTCGTGGCCCCATAGGGAGCTCCACCGAAGGTCCCAGTGGGTGTGCCCGCATGCGTCCCGCACACCATTTCGGCACACCCCTCACACGTTTCGTGGCCCCATAGGGAGCTCCACCGAAGGTCCCAGTGGGTGTGCCCGCATGCGTCCCGCACACCCATTTCGGCACACCCCTCACACGTTTCGTGGCCCCATAGGGAGCTCCACCGAAGGCCCCAGTGGGTGTGCCCGCATGCGTCCCGCACACCCATTTCGGCACACCCCTCACACGTTTCGTGGCCCCATAGGGAGCTCCACCGAAGGTCCCAGTGGGTGTGCCGTGCCCGCACACCCATTTCGGCACACCCCTCACACGTTTCGTGCCCCGCTCCACCGAAGGTCCCAGTGGGTGTGCCCGCATGCGTCCCGCGGCACACCCTCACACGTTTCGTGGCCCCATAGGGAGCTCCACCGAAGGTCCCAGTGGGTGTGCCCGCATGCGTCCCGCACACCATTTCGGCACACCCCTCACACGTTTCGTGGCCCCATAGGGAGCTCCACCGAAGGTCCCAGTGGGTGTGCCCGCATGCGTCCCGCACACCCATTTCGGCACACCCCTCACACGTTCCGTGGCCCCATAGGGAGCTCCACCGAAGGTCCCAGTGGGTGTGCCCGCATGCGTCCCGTCGTCTCTCTGCCCAGCGGCAAGAGCCTTGCCCGCTATCAGCCAGCCAGCTAGCTCTTTTTGCTCCGCGCAGTGGACGACCCGCGCGCGTCGCTGGGACCCCTCCGGGGCGACCTGCGCGCGTCGCGGGGACTCCGCGCTGCGCTGCGCCCGCAACCTTGGACTTTTGAGTGCGCGGGCAAAGAGGGAGTAAAGGAAGGGGAGGAAGCGGGCGCGATCCTCGCCGGTGGGCGCGCCGACATTGGCGTCGCGGCGCGCGGGCGATGCCGTCGGGGAGTCCCGGGGAAGCTCCTTGCGGCGGCCACGCCCAGCGTCACGAGTACTCAGAGGCAGACATTGTCAAACTATTGACATTCATACACAATTGCGCCACGCTTTGTCATATTCGCATTCATGCACGTAGACTCGTTCGCACGCAGATTCATTCACAGTCAGACGCACGCGCGCAGATTCACCCGCGCTCAGTCTCCCTACGTACTCAGATCAATCGTTTTCGTTCGCGTTGTGTACCACGCCACTCATGTCGGCACACCCCTAGCACGGTTCGTTGCCTCATAGGGATCGCCACCGAAAAAGTGAATCACTATTGCGGTACTCACACCTGTATATGGTTGGGTCCCTCGTCAGGCTAATTTTTTGTGTGTGTGGGGGGGTGTCTCTCTCCCTCTCTCTCTCTCTCTTCTTCTCCTCCAGCCTCTTCCTTCATCAGGCCCACGTTTTTCCGCTACGCGGGCTCATTTTCTTCGTATTGTCTCCGTTGGCGAGTCTCCCCGCTGCTCTGACCCTGTACAGACTCCTGCTCGCAATGGTTTGCGATGTATTTGGTTCAGCCGTGCGCCCAACGCAGGGGCCGAGACCACTGCGCGATGTGTTGCTAGATGCCTTAAACTACCATCGTCGTCTGCACAGGGCCGATTTGTCGGGCAAGCTGGTTCTTGCCATGGTGCAGCGCAGGAGAATTCTAGACGCTTCGCGTATCCCCACCAGCCCGTCCAGAAATGAGCCCCAGGGGAGTGGAGGTGATGAGGGAAGCGGGGGAGCATGCAGAAGAACAAAGAGCGGGTTGAGCCGCCATACGCCCCAAGAGGGGGAGGATGTAGGAGGAGTCGTCGTCGTCGGAGTAGGAGGAGGAAGACGAGGAGCAGGAGGAGGAGCAGGAGGAGGAGGGGGAGGAGGAGGAGGAGGAGGAGGGAGGAAGATGAGGAGGAGGAGATGGAGGAGGGCGAGGACGAGGAGGACGAGAAGGAGGAGGAGGAGGAGGAGAAGGAGGAGGCGGAGGAGGGGGAGGGGGAGGAGGGAGGAGGGAGAAAAAGAGGAGGAGGAGGAGGACAATGGCGAGCTTGGGGGCCTCTTGGGCCGTCTTTGGGGCCTCTTGGCGGTCCCGGAGGCCTCTTGCGTATCTCGGGGAGCTTCTTGTGGCCTTTTGGGAGTCTCTTGGAGGCCTCTTGGAGGCCTCTTGGGGGCCTCTTGGGGCCTCTTGGGGCGCTCTTGGGGCGCTCTTGGGGCGCTCTTGGGAGCCTTCGAGGCGCTCTTGGGGCCATCTTGGAGGAGATCTATCAAAGAAGGGGGGGTCCCCAATTAGCGCTGCCCCTCTAGAGTGCCTCGAGTCGCCTCTTGGGCTCCCCAAGAGGCCAAAATCCTTACAAAACCTATGGAAAATCAATGTTTTTTGCTTTCTCGCATTTTCGCTCTTGGAGCCTTCTTGGGCCATCTTGGGAGCCTCTTGGGGCCTCTTGGGGGTCTCTTGGGAGCCTTTTGGAGGCCTCTTGGGCGCCTCTTGGCGTCTCTTGGAGCCTCTTGGGGTTCTCTTGGGGCGCTCTTGGGGCGCTCT